TTTATAGACACCCATACCCACAAGGAAGAGACCAACCACGATGGCCCCAATCACAGGAAGCACAATTGTGTAGTCAGACGAGCACTCATCCACTAAGAGAAAAAACAAATACAACATAGCCGGTAAGGTTTGGTGATGACAGACCAGAAGGCAGGCTAGAATGGAAAGAACATGAGCTTTGGAGTCACACAAATCCAGGCTTGACTTTTAATTCTACCATTAACTAACTGTGTGACCTTGGGAAGGTAATTTACCCTTACAGTTTCCTTCTTTATAAAGTAAGCAAATAATATGTTGGAGGATGAAATAAAGTAACCTTCTTATCTTCTCAGCAATTAATTCTCTAGCAATGAATAATTGTTATCCCTGTTTCCTGAACCCAGAAAGAAGTCATTCTAGGCATGCTTCTTGCAAAGTATGATGTGCCTACGTAACAGAGAGCACTTGTATGACTAGATGACTGATGAGCTTTTGAAAACATGTGATGTTTATCTACTTTATAAAACACTTTTGTCACCCTTGAGGTTTCTTGGATTACATTTAGGTAATATTAGAAAATAAACCAAATTATTCATAAGAGTTTAAAAGTGAGAGTTTGTAAACCTGTCAAAACTGTTTTTTCTTTATTTCATTAGAGAGTGTTTAATTCCTTTCAGGTATAATTGATTGGGTCAGAGACTGATTAGTCTCGACAGGAGAAAGATGGAGTGGCCTGGGGATAAAGGGGAACTTAATAAAGTACTCAATATAATGAAGAGTTTGGGAAAAAAAAGAGCAAATAATTGGAGAAATCCATCTGTATCTCATTCATGGATAGCTAAAAAGATATATGCACGAGGTCCTTGTATGAACCAGCACTGAAATTATGTCCTGAACTGAGGAACACCATTAACTCAATTCTGTGTATGTTAGATCCAAGAAAAAAAAAAGGATCAGAAGAGGTTAGAGGAGAGAGTATGGAAAATAGAGATTCCTGGAAAAAGAAAATTTGTACAAGAAAGAAATTGTGCTTGATGAACACAGTGAACAATATTTACATAAGTATAATAATGTTTACCTCATTGATTTAACCAATAATAGTGGTATAACCATAAATCCTTATCTATCATAGCAGGAAGTCTAAAACTGATAAGAACTAATTTGATAAGCTTTTTATGTTGTAGAGTTATGGAGCTAGCCATCAGGAGAAACTGTTCAATTTAGTTAAAATACTTTGTCTCTCAGGGGCAGAACAGGGAAATGTTGCTTTTGTTACATGATACTTGTTACAAAAGTACATGATACTTTTGTTACTTACATATATTTCTTAAATAAAAAAACTTGGACAAGCTAAGAAACTAACATGAGTAGGAAAAAACTGCAAATAAGTTAAAGCAAAATGTAAAGCATATAACTATTGATCCAGTAATTCCACCTTTAGGAATTTGTACTAAACATATACTCAGACACTACACAAAGACATATTATAGTAATGTCCATTTTATGAGAGATAATCTAAATATCCATCAAAAATTTAAAATGGTATTCTTGTGATAGAATATAATGTAGCCATTAAAAAGAATTTGGTTCAATGCTTTATATGGAAACTATAAATAAATAAATAAATATAAAAATAAATAAAAAGAAAAAAAAAGAATGTGGCAGGTATCACTGTGTTGTAGTACAAGTTCCCTAAGACCCATGAAGCGTCACAGGAACTCAGACAAATGTTTGCGTGTCAGGTATGAAAGAGCAAAAACTGAGAGAAGGACTAGGATGGAAGTGGGAAGGCACTTTTACTTCCTATATAGTTTTGTACACTATTAAATTCTTTAACATTGTTTAAATATTTTTAAAATGCAGAAGAGTACACAAAGAAAAGTAATATCACCACATTTCTTCTATTTGAATCAATCACTGTAAACCTTTTCAGGCATTTGCGTCCTCTGTGAATGTATGCATGTATGTGTACTTGTGTGTATGCTTAAAGAAAAATCATTCTATTTTTAATAAATGATCTATGCTCATTACAAATCATTAAAATAATGGAGAAAAACACAAATAAAAAAGCAAAAACCAGTCACCCCAAAACAACCCACCCAGAAATTGTCACTTCTAACATGGACAAACATTATCTCAGGCATCTTTCTTCAGAACTATACAGATAAGTGGGTAGAAAAAATAAATAGAAGTATTTTTTAAGATAGAATCATACAAGTGCTATATATTACAGTTATTAATTTGTTAAAAATTTAATTTACTTGAATTTAATAGAAGAAAAAACTAAACAGAAACTGAAGGAATCATTGCATGTCAATGTTTCTTTGTCATAGGAAGTATTGTTTCATAAAGGATCCCTTTAAGATTCAAAAAAGAGATTATGAAGTACGCATTAAAGAGGTTATAAAATAAATTGGAGTCATATGTTTTCCAAAATCAGTTTCCAATTTAAACATTATCTATTGATACTGTTTTGGAAGATTAACACTAACAGATTCTCTTCTATCTCCCCTCTCTCCAACTGTAAGTTTTGAATAGTTATATTACTATTGTTAACATTGTCCAAGTTTATAACACTTCAGTTCTATTTGATAACTATCATTCCTCTAGCCTTTAAAAAATGTGTTTTGATTTGATTTTCAAATCTATATGATTTGAAAAGTCAAAATAATACAAGATGCTGCACATTGAGAAATTTTAGTTCCACCTTTGTCCCATCTTCTTAGTTCTCCCATTCTCATTCGATAACCACTTTTCTTAGTTTTCATACATATTTCTGATGTTTATTTATGCATATAGAAACAAAATGAATATATTCTTATTTCCCCATTTATCACTGTTAGGCATTATGCTTTCTTGATTTCACAATACATTTTTGACATCTTTTCTTATACCTACATACATACACACATAGCATCCTCATTCTTTGTGTAACTATGTAGTAGTCCATTGTGGGATGTATCACAGTTTTTTATTCTGACCCTAATTGACAGATGCTTGGTTTGCTTTCAATTTTTTGCTATTAAAAATAATGCTATAATGAGTAACCATATAAAAATATCATTTCACATATGAGAGGTATATTTGTGTTCTCAGACCCATAAGTATTTAGTATTTTTAATATTTAAATGGGTAACATGTTCACCAGTATCAGTTGTTTTTATTTTGTTTTATTTATTTATTTTTACTGTGATTTTTCTATTCCTGAAGGTTGTTCGCTTATTTCCTTGTTTATGCTGTGGCTCATCTCCTATCTCATTGAATTTCATTGCCAAGCAATATTTTTAAGGACTTATTGGTGCTGCATCCTTTGAATTATTTCATGGTTGAGAATATCTGCCTATTGTCTTTATACTTAAATAATATTTGGGGGTCACGCTTTCTTTCCCTTAGGACATTGTAGACATTGGCCTATTGCTTGCTGGCTTTAAATGTTGTTGTGAAGAAATCTGAGGTGAACTTTCACTTTCCCACTTTATAGGTGATTTTCTTTCCTTTTTTTCCCCATAAAGGCCTAAAAAATTCTTTATCTTTGAAATTCTATAGCTTACTTCAGATATGTCTCAATGTTAAACTCTCTATATCAATTCTTTTCTGGTACATACTGTGCTTTTTCAATCTCAACTTTAATTATTTATCTCAAGGAAATTGTCTTAAATCTTCAACCACATCTTCATTCTATTTTTGAGCTCTCTACTTTGGAGGCACGAATTATCCTTATGTTGGATGGTTTGAATAGCTTCTACATCTAGTAGGTCTCTATAATGCTTTAATTATAAGATTTTATGTGTATTAACTGTGGTTATCTCAGTCATGCTCTCTATGAAAAAAAAAAACGTAATTTCAACCCTATCTTTTCTGCTTCTTCCTGCTTCTCTATAATATGTGATGGTGTTGAAACCAATGCTGCTAACATCTTGACCTTGGATTTCTAGCTCCAGAACTGTGACAATATATATACATTTCTACTGTATAAGGCATCCAGTCTGTGGTACCTGAGTATGACAGTCTTAGCAAATAAATAGACCTTCCCTTCTTTAATTAATTGAATTTTGCAATATGATTATTGTTATTTTGCTGCAGTATTTTTGCATAGGGGCCATGCAGTTTGTTTTCATTTTGCTCGTGCTTGAGCATGTCAGTCCAGAAATTCAATTTCGTATGATATCATTTGGGTAAATTACAGTCTTTTCCCCATTGTATCTGAGCTCAGTTCATGTTTCCCTTTGAGCTAGATATTTGGATTCTATCCTCTTTTTTGTAGCATGGACACTAGCTACAGCCTGGAGAGCCCCCCCTGGTTTGGGGTTGGCTCCCCAGTTCACTTCCATCAGTCCCTATGTTCACTCTTCCTAGTCTTCCTGGGAGCCATTTTCCATATCCCAGGTGGAAAAGGAAGAAGATAAAGCAACCCACCCTTTCTTTCCCTCCAGACTTAGTAATGAAAGTAAGAGTGCACAGGATTTCTCTTCTCTCATCACAGGCTTCTGAGGGTGGATGTGTGGAGCAGGGGCAGGGGAGGGTGCGCTGGCGAGGGGCTTGGCCCTGCTGCTCCCCCTCAGAAAGGGGGCAGGACTGTGAGGAAATCACACAGCCAAGCATTTGTCTACTGGTCATTCCAATGGAACCTTTGTTCTTCATGGTTACTAGAGTGTTAATTCAAATTAATTTTAAGGGGCCGGGCGCTGTGGCTCACGCCTGTAATCCTAGCTCTTGGGAGGCCGAGGCGGGCGGATTGCTCAAGGTCAGGAGTTCAAAACCAGCCTGAGCAAGAGCGAGACCCCGTCTCTACTATAAATAGAAAGAAATTAATTGGCCAACTGATATATATATGTAAAAAATTAGCCGGGCATGGTGGCGCATGCCTGTAGTCCCAGCTACTCGGGAGGCTGAGGCAGAAGGATCACTCAAGCCCAGGAGTTTGAGGTTGCTGTGAGCTAGGCTGACGCCACGGCACTCACTCTAGCCTGGGCAACAAAGTGAGACTCTGTCTCAAAAAAAAAAAAAAAAAAAATTAATTTTAAGGGTAGTTGGCCTTGGGAGTGGGTAGCAGGAATCTAAGCAGTAGCTACCACCCAAAAGAACTCATTGAAGATGACAGGAAGGGAAATTAAATTTAAGTGAACTGTGATATCCCTCTGCTCTTGACTTTAAATTCTGCTTCTTGTTTCTAACTGCAATGACAGAAATTTCTACATACTAGAAGATTAACCTTGAATTAGTCATTCTGCAGGATGGTTAATGGCCCAATGAATAAACACCTTGTCAAAGTGCCCATAACACTGGACACATGGGAGTCTGGAGCAGGTGCCTAATTGAGGGGGGAAGGGAGAGGAGATTGCAGCTTTCCAAAGCCAAGGCCTTGCTCTCAGGCTTGAGTCATTTCGGGGAATACCAGGTCCTCACAACCCAGATTGTCATCAACGTCTCTAACAGGCATTTCCTGACACTCTAGATTATCCTTTGGGGCTCTTAAAGCTCCCTCTTGAAGCTGCAAAGTGCCCTTCTCACCCCCTCACTTCTAAGAAAGTGGAAGGTGGAAACACCTCCAGGGAGAGCCAGCACATTTCCTAGATAAGCAGTAGTTATAGAACTGTTGCCAAATTTCATAAGCTTCATGTTAAAATAATGAATGGCACCTCTGAGAAATGCAGATAAACAAGAAAACTTTCTGTCTGTAAAATCAGTGATTTAATAAGAACATGTGGAAGTCTATTAATCTCCCATTTCTCTGAACTAAAACCCCAATTCTCATATTTAAACCATCGATGTTATAGAAAACTATGAATAACATCCTAAGCCATATTTTAATAGAATTTTTCCCTCCAGATATTTACTGGTTTATAATTTTTTTGATGAATGTTTGCAAAAAAAAAAGAAAGTGGGTAAAGACCTGCACAGGTCTACCTTTCCACGCTTGCCATTTCTGGTTGTCTTAATGCTCTGCCTACCTTCCCTCCCAAAATGGCCCAAATTAACACATTACAAGGTTAGAACAGCACCAAAGAAAAACAGAGACAATATCAGGAAAAAAGTGTTCAGAAGGCAGACAATAAATGAAGTTGAAGGAATTGGAGAACTAACATTTATTGAGCCTCTTTTGTTTGCTGAGATCTTTGGTATGTGCTTTACATTTAAAAAGTGAAATGCCAGGAAGTGTTCTAATTTTTTTACTAATAATATATTACGATAGTGTAGAATATGTTTTTTCTTTTAATAGTATACTAAGACCCTCTATAATTTAAGTGGATCAGAATTTCGGTAAAATCTTAAGAGTTTAAAATCACTTTGTAATTTATTTTGAAATGGATTTATTTAAAGTAATATTTTTTAAAAAACAAAATTGAGACTCTTAAAATGTATAAGAAAATCACTGCAGTCTGAAAATGTTTTCCCACAATTCTTCCCTTGGGTTTTTTCTTTCTTCTTTGCACAAGCTCATGTCTCTATTGCCCCCTAATTCTCGAAGTCAGCTCCGGCTTATCTAGGTGTGGCAGATGGCATTACAGCTCATCTGACACGGCCTCCCCAAGCCAACAGGAGGAAGTGGGGTGGAGGGGTGCCCTTTCCTAGCCCTAGGATGGCCCTTTGGTGGAAACCTAGTTTTCCTAAGCAGCTTGGAAGGGTGGGACAGGCACCTAGAGAGGTAATCCTTTCACTTAAGACTGAAAAATGAAGCCAGAGTTCCCAAGGCCTTAACCTTGCACATTTTGAAGAAAGTGGGGCTTTACAGGTGTTCATATCCTCTACTGGGCCTCTTTCTGGCCACCAGACATGCGGTTAGCAATATGACAAGCAGTCCTGAGACACTCAGGCCCATGGCCACAGGGACTTCTCTCCTGTTTCTGTCACTGAAGCATTCATCCGCTGTAATTGAAGTCAGAGTAACAGGTGTTACAGGCTGGCCACGAACGCGGGGAAATGCTACTGCCCCAGTCTGCCTCAGGTGCGCAAAAAAGGAAACTGAGGGATACACGGAGCTGCTGGGCCTCCTCCTGCTGCCTCAGTCAACAGATGGGTGAAAACAGGGAGAGAAAGCGCCAATCCAGTAGATCTGAAACTTGCAGTGCTGCTGATTACTTAAGGAGTTTATTAAAGTGTAGCTCCCAGGCCACGTCCAAGAAATTATAATTAAGTGGGTCTGATGGCCGGGGGATTCTGATGCTACTGGGAGGCAGATCCACCTTTGAGAGAAATTGGTTTGTTCTACAGAGTTGTAATCAGAGCGGTGTCCTGACTCTCAAGCCAGAGTAAGCCCTGGAGCCGCATCCCCCAACTCCAGAGACAGGGTTCTGCACCAAGTCACAGAGCCAAAGCTTTCTGTTCACACCATGCTTCTTAAAAGGGGCTGCTCAGACAGCAAAATAAAGAGAAGAAAGGAAAGGCAGCAAAAAACCAAACCTTTTGCAGGCTCCAGAATTTTAGGGAGGAGGGGTTGAGAATGTGCGAGTCAGGAGTGCACTGTTTGCGATGGCCACTCTCTTCTACCAGGCTCAGCTGTGACACTTGCTGGCCTCCTCTCCAGTTCTTTGAGCCCCGTTTAAATGTCACCCATTGGTTTGCACTTCTTTAACCCACCCTGTCACCACTAGTGCTGTGTTCATCCTGCCTTCCTCTGCGCTCCGACAGTCCTTTGCCTGTGTGTCTTTTAAACACTATATTGTATGGTAACTCGCTCCCCTTGTTTCTCTCTTCTCTTACTCTCTGGCAGAAAATACTATTTCCAGAAGGACATACATCTTCACATTTGAGCATCTTTAGTGAAATTTGAAGTGCAAAGACTAGAAAATGGAGTCGAGCTAAAGCAATGACAGTGGGTAAACAAGAGAGACCTTTTGGAAGTAGACTTGGCAGGGGTTTGGGGCCATTTATATAAGAGGGTGATGGCAGGAGAGGAGTTAAGGGGAACTCTGAAGTCTCTTCTTTGGGGAATTATCCAATGAATGGTGATTTTAGAAAAAAATGTAAAGAAACGAGAGATTTTCTAGCTCTCCCTGTGAACACTGCTAATAGGAGGCCAGGTGTGTGCTGCTGGAAGCTTTTATTCTTTATGTCCCAGCTCTGCCACCAAGGCATTTCCTAGACCTGTTAACCTCCTGCCTTACAGAGGTTCTGATGGGGAAGAAGAGCACGTGTGTTTAACTTATTTTAAGATCACATGATTAATTACAGAGCTTTTTCAAACCTTCATAATGAATTTTAAAAGAAATAGTTTTCCAACATTAGAAGTTTTGAGACCAGATGACAAAGTGGGAGCAACACCTACTAGAAAATTTTAATATTTAATCTTAGCACTGTGGTGAGGTCCAAACCAAAAGTACAGACTGTAAGACTCAGACAGAACCTACAGAAATCAGGGATCCAAGGCAAGAAACACCTTAATACTTCCTATACTAAATGCCTTCCACTAAGTATGTCAGGACAAGTTTTCTGCTAGACACATCTGCAATTTCATAATGGAACCCAAAGCAAAGTCAGATTTGTATTATAGAAATTTCATATATGGTTAAACTTATAGCCAAATCTATTTTTGAGAGTTGAGAAGTACTCATAACGTTTTTGAGTTATTACAAGAGGGATGTTTTAGATGTTGAAGTTCATGACCCTTCTGATCATATGTAAAAATCCTTGTAACACTGTTTTCCTGGAAGGCAGAAAAGGACTTTACTAGAAAGTCACCCTGGTCTGCATCTGCCCCCTGACCAAGAACTGGTTTCCCTCCCAGGCAGTCTGTGCCTGCGGAGGTCCAAACCCAAAGCGGAAGTTAGGTGGAAACTAAAACTGCCTCAAGGAAACACTGTTGGGTGCAACAGCTCGTCATCAAGAAGAGGGGATCCGACAGAGTTTATTTGTATCTCAGATGCCACGTGTGCTCTTTCCCTCTGCAGGTGGAAAGGAATCTAATCTGAAATCTTGAATTCTAGACATCATGGCTACTCAGGTCTTTAAAGTGTTCCCCAAACATACCTGAGTTTACCAATGCTCAACAGCAGGTGAGGGGAAGTCGCAGATAATGTTTTGTGGTTTTCTATTGAGTGTGTGTGTGTTTAAATGAGTGAAGATATGTGCTTTAGTCAAAGAGAATGAATACTGCTGCGGGAGGGCTATAGACGTGAGTGAAGGAGTCTGATTTAGAGGTGGCCGGGCAGGGATTCTTGCTCCTCTGGCAGCTTCAGACAGAAAATAACTTGGAACTACCCTGGGTCTCTGATGTTTGTCTTTGTGACCCAGTGAACCCTTAACTTACCATTTCCAAAGTGGTCGTCTTCAAAATCAAAGGCTTGAAGTTGGACATTCATTGTTTTCAGCTGGAGCTGGGCGGACAGCTGGAGGCTTTGCTCGCTCACACACCTGAAGGAATGCCCGACCACCGTCTCAAACAGCACCAGCGAACCCTTCAATCCTTGGTAAATCGTCTCTGGAAAGAAAAGGTGAAATCCTGACACATATCCCCTGAGCTCCGGCTGTGGCTGGGTTGCCCACGTCAGTCAGATGGCCTTCCTCCAGCCGTGTCTACCTGGGGGTTCTGCCACCCTCCTCTCATGAAAACACACCTGGTGCTGTTCCTAGACTTTTTCTGGTGCTCTGTTTGAAGTATAGGGGTGACATCTAACATCAACTGGAATGTGAAGATACTGACATGAGAGCTTTTGAGAATGTTTGCTTTGATTATTTTAAATCACTGGGGACAGAGTTGGTGTGGACTACTGTCAATGCTTGGGGGATCTAGGGAGGAGTACCATGAAATTTCAGAAATAAGAGAGGTAATATTGCTTCCTGAGTTTTACTAAGTCGCCAGAGCCCTTAATGAGCCAGAGCAGGGACATACAAAGTCAGCAAATGGGGTATTTGGATATTTGCAGGCTGAATGTATTAAACTAGCAGAAGAAAGAACTCTCAAGGGGATGTGGGGGGGTTCTGCATCCGTTCCTGGAAACACAGAGAAGGGAGAGGCCTGTCTCTTCCCAGCTGAGTGCTGTCCGGGGAGAGGGACCCACCCAAGGACCGGCCCTGTCCTGTGACAGGTACGCCATTTTCAAGGAAGCAGAGGCTTCAAGGCAGATGGAGTTAAACATTTAAATCATATAATAAACTCCATTTGCTTTGATTCCATGCTCACCAAGCACCTTCTGACTATGCTTTGGCTTCTTGAATGGGAGAAAATTCACTGGCCAGAGGACTCAACTGTCCGGTCCCTGTGGCTGACAGTAAGAAATAGGCACATGATAAATTAACCAGCTGGCATTAACTCCAGCATTTGTACAAGCAAATGCCCTACACAAATGCCCTGACACAGAATTGTCAGGGTTCACATTGTATCATGAGTTATATCCTGGGACAGTCTGCTACCGCCATCCCCACTAACGTTATAACTACTGTTATAGCTGTAATTACAACTGACTTCTACTCCTAATAGCACCACCACCACCACTGACATGAAAATCATTGTTATGTGACTACTAGAGCTCCTGCTGCTAATGCTCAGCCTTGGTCATCGGGCCTGGAATTGATCTTTCCCCCATCTTAGCCTCTAAATTAATTTCGGACCTGACTTTCCCTTCCCCTGCCTCTTGAGAGATTACTATCCTATCACCAGCTAAAATTTGGTCCATGTCTAGTGCTAACATTAGTTAATTTATGTTGGCATCCACAATATTTGTTTCCCAGACTATATAAGGAGACAGGTCTGAGTTCACGTATATGAATATGAGTTGTCTGCTACAACATTTTACTTACGTTTAGCCAACAATCATTGACAAAATCCTCTTGAACAATGTCAATACAATGTAGCTAATATTTTAAGGAGACATTACTCCACACTTTCATTTCTTGGCAAGTTTCTTTGGCATAAGTTCCCTAATTAATAGACAAATGTTTAAGCCAGTCAAAAGATAGAGCTTTCAGAAGGAGAAAACAGACATGAAAACTGCTGGTATGGTACCTGGCACAGAGGAGGTGCTCAGTAAGGTTGTCACCTAAGTCTAGGCTTTCTAGGGAGACATTTGAAGCCTCCCAGAGACTCATCTGACTTGATTGGCAGCTTTACTTCTCTAGTTGTGAACATTGAAGGGGTCATCAGAACGTGCCTCACTGCAGGTAATTATCCATACAGCAACCAAAGTAAATTTTATAAATGTAAATTTGATATATCATTTCCCTCTCTCAAACCCTCCAATGGCATCCTTTCACATTTTATTTTATTTTATTTTATTTTATTTTATTTTATTTTATTTTATTTTTTTGAGACAGAGTCTTGCTCTGTTGCCCAGGCTTGGGTGAATGCTGTGGCGTCAGCCTAGCTCACAGCAACCTCAAACTCCTGGGCTCAAGCAATCCTGCTGCCTCAGCCTCCTGAGTAGCTGGGACTACAGGCATGCACCACCATGCCCAGCTGATTTTTTCTATATATATTAGTTGGCCAATTAATCTCTTTCTATTTATAGTAGAGACAGGGTATAGCTCTTGCTCAGGCTGGTTTCGAACTCCTGACCTCGAGCAATCCGCCCACCTCAGCCTCCCAGAGTGCTAGGATTAGAGGTGTGAGCCACCACGCCTGGCCTCCTTTCACATTTTAGAACAGAGTCCAAAGTCCTTACTTTGCCTTGCCCTCAGGCTGTAGTGCCTGGCTGTCCCTCGACCTCATGTGCTGTTTGTCCCCTCTCTCGGGCACACTGGCATTCTGCTGGTCCCTGAACCCACTAGCAAGCGAGCTCTTCAGGGCCTGTGCATCTGTTGTTCCTGCCACCTGGAAGAGCTTCCCCAGGCCCAGGTATCTCCAAATAGCAATATTTCTCTGCTCAGACCTCACCTCTGCAGGGAGGCCTTCCTTTCCCGAAGGCATTCCTAAGGCTCCACCTAAAATAGCTTTCTGTTCCTCTCCACTTTCCCTGCTGGTGTTTGCTCCTAGAACTCATCACACTTGACAGTGCACAGTAGCCCCGCTTTAGCCTCGGGGGATATGTTCCAAGATCCCCAATGAATGTGGAAAGTACCGAACTCTCTCCCATTCTCTCTCTCTATATATATATTTGTGCACACACATGTATACACACACATATGTACATGTGTGTATATATATATAATGTTTTTTTCTACACGTACATACCTATGATAAAGTTTAATTTTTAAATTAGGCACAGTAAGAGATTAACAACTCATGGTAAAAGTAGAACAAATATAACAATGTATATAATAAAAGTTATATGAACGTGGTCTCTTTCAAAATATCTTATTGCACTGTGCTCACCCATTTTCAGACTGTGGTAACTGAAACCACGAAAAGCGAAACCGCAGGGTGGGGGACAATTGTATTTCAATTTCATGTGTTTTTGGTACTCTCCCCCTTCTAGAATGTAAGCTCCATGAGGGCAGGAACTGATAGTTTGGAAAATTGTGAATCCCTAGTGCCTAATACAGGGCTTGGCACCTAGCAGGCACTAACTACATTTTAGCAGAGTGAATGCATGATTTCAAGAATATAGAATAAATTCACTATCAGTAATCTATCAAATCTATCAAAAAGTCACTAACTCTTTTTTGTTACGAATAATGATCTGTGACATAATCTAGTCCAATCTCCTCTATAAATAAACAGACAAATTAAGCACACAAAAGCTTAACATTCTCCCAGGGTTATATTACTGGCTACTGTCAGTTCGTTTCTTAAAAGCAGCAACAAGGATTAGTAGATTTAATGGGATGAAAAATGAGCCAACCAGAAACACAGTGTCATCCCTGGTACAACAGCCATTCTTTAAGTACTAACCTGGATTTGAGACGGTCAAGTAGGCTCCCGCTTTACTGATGTAATACGATTTTTCCTCCTGTAAAACAGCAGTGTGTTAACCTTTGGGTAATCTCCATTTTCATGTTTATAATCCTGGCTTACAAACTTTGTTTAGGCAGGATTCCAGCTATTAAATCCTAGAGATGGGGGGTTTGAGGTATATTGGTACTGGGCCATAATTGTGTGTGAAAATTTTTTTAAAAAGTAAACATACCACACAATAAATAAATAATAAGTAAAAGTTTGCTTCTGGCCCCAGATTTCTCTATTGCATGCTTGTTGCTAGAGCCTGAAATTCAAATTCTGCCAGTACAATTTGAGTCCCTTCAGTAAGTCAAATTTCTCCCTGTAAAATGCAAGTACATCTGGAAGGTGGAGGGGCTAGAGGACACACATTAAACTTTTATCAGTAATTAATATCTAAGGGTAGGGATTCTTATTCTGAGATTACTTATCCTTAAGGATACCATGGGTTCCATAAACCCTCCAGGAAAAATAAAGTATACAAAATTGTGTGTGCATGTTCCTAAGTGGGGTATCAATTGCTTTAAACAGATTAATGGGTCTAAGTCTCCAAAATGTTTAAATGGGGCCACCAGGAGGGATCCTGGGAAGAAGTGGCTTACCCTGACCTCACTGGGTGTTCTTTAGAAGAGGACCCCAGGTGGCTGAATTTCAAACACTAAGCAGTGCCCCCACATCTTATCTAGGGATTGTTCTTTTAGAAAAACAAAACTAAACAAAAAAAGAACTACAAAATAGCCCTGTAACCTTCTGAAGGACAAAGAGTATTAAGTATTCAAGGGAATTGAATTGGAGTATGAATAGCTAAATTGAAAAGGGAGTTTTTGTTTTTTAACATAGGTGATTTACTATGTTCATTTTTCAGTTTTAACATTCATTATAAAACTATCTACAAGTAAGAGGTGAAAAAAGGACAAAGTAGCCAAAATTAGAATCTGAAATTGAATTACTTTTAGAAGTTTCAAATCTAGCCAGTAAAGAAATTTAACAACACTAATCTCAGTCACACTATAGTCCATTATTAGTGTATGAAATGATGATTCATTATGCAACAGAAGGGTTCCATAAACACAAACTGTTTTAGTAAGGTCAATGACACTCATATGCTGAACTCTAGGTCCTTCAACTCAACTTTCTTGTCTTTAGTTTTTCTTTTTTTTTTGAGACAGAGTCTCACTTTGTTGCCTAGGTTAGAGTGAGTGCCGTGCCATTAGCCTAGCTCACAGCAACCTCAAACTTCCTGGGCTCAAGCAATCCTTCTGCCTCAGCTTCCCAAGTAGTGGGGACTACAGGCACGTGCTACCATGCCCGGCTAATTTTTTCATATGTATTAGTTGGCTAATTAATTTCTTTCTATTTATAGTAGAGACAGGGTCTCGCTCTTGCTCAGGCTGGTTTCGAACTCCTGACCTCGAGCAATCCATCTGCCTCGGCCTCCCAGAGTGCTAGGATTACAGGCGTGAGCCACCGCGCCGGGCCATGTCTTTAGCTTTTCATAAAGATCAAAATTGATCTTCATTGGGAAAATAAAAATTTAGGACTGCTTATTTCAAGGGAAAAAGTTTCTTTTACTAGTTTCCTTTATTCATTAAATTATATACGTAGCCATTGTTATTCTTGAATTTATGGTCCCTGTTTTGGCTTAAATGAGTTCTCATTTAAAATGTGAAGGGTAGGGCAAGGCAAGATGGCCAAATAGAAACCTCCAATGACTGTCCCTCTGTAAAAACACCAAATTCAACAGCTATCCTCTCAAGGAAGCACTTTCAGAAGAAGTAAATATGAGGTGAGTGATCACAGTCTCTGGTCTTAACATCATATCAAGGAAAGAGGCACTGCAGAGGGCAGAAAAGACAGCCTGGCATTGCCTGAGCCACCCCTCCCCCAGCCCCTGGCAGGGCCACACTGGGTGGAGAGAATCTATGTGTCTGGGAGAGGGAGAGGGAAGTAATTGTAGGACTTTGCATTGGAACTCAGGGCCACCCTGTCACAGGGGAACACAGCACAGGCAGAATTCTGCTGGTGTCCATGGACAAGCATTTAGACCAGCCAGTCAGAGGGAAAGCCCCACCCCAGGGTACAAACCTGAGTTCCAGCTAGCCCAATCACTGGTTGACAAAAAGTGGCAGGGGGTCTGGAATAAATCCATAAAGCAGTCAGGCCACAAAGGTTGTGGTCCTTGGGCAATTCTTGTTGCTGTGTTGGCTGGGAGTCAGTGGACTTGGGTGCATGTGACCCAGTGAGACACCAATGGCAGTGGCCAAACTAGTGCCTGTGTCACCCCTCCCCCAACTTCAGGCAGTGTGGCTCAGGGAGTGTCTTCTTCCAGTTGAGGAAAGGAAAGGGAAGAGTTCAGAGGACTTTGTTTTGCAACTTGAGTACCATCTCAGCCACAGTAAAATAAAGTACCAAGAAGATTCCTAGCGCCCCTCATTCCAGGCCTTAGTTCCTGGATGGCATTTCTAGACCCACTCTGAGCCAGAAGGAAACCCACTGCCCTAAAGGGAAGGACCCAGTCCTAGCAGGACTCACCACTTGCTGACTAAAGAACACTTGAGCTTTGAAAAAACATCAGAGCTAGCCAGGTAGCAGTCATCACTGATTTTGGGTGAGACTGGGCTGGCTTCAGGTGTGACCTGGCACAGTCCCAGCTGCAGGGGCCATGAGGAAGTGCCCATGTCACTCCTTCCACAACTGCAGCAGCACAGCACAGAGAGTAAGGGAAGAAAGTGAGACACATTGCCTGGTTATCCAGGAATTCTCCTATATCTTACCCAAGTCCACCAAGGCAGTATCAGCAGGAGTCTGCAAGTCACAGCATTACTGGGCTTGGGGTGTCCTCAGTGCCGATATGGCTGGAGTGATTAGAGACTTAGATTACAATACTCAATTTCCTTTGAATATCTGGAAAACGTTTTTTAAGAAGGAGAGGTTCAAACAAGCCCAGACTGCAAAGATTAGAATAAATACCTAACTCTTCAATGCCCAGACATCAACAAACATCCACAAGCATAAAGACCATCCAGGAAAAAACCTCACCAAAAGAACTAAATAAGGCAGCAGTGACCAATTGCAGAGTGATAGAAGTAAATGATCTCTCAGAGAAAGAATTCAAAGTCCTGACGAAGCTCAATGAACTTCAAGACAACACAGAGAAGGAATTCAGAAGCCTATCTGAGAAATTTAACAAAAAGATTGCAATAATAAAAAAAAAAATCAAGCAGAAATTCTGGAGATGAAAAATTTAATTGACAGACTGAAAATATATCAGAGTCTCTCAAGAGTAGAATTAATCAAGCAGAAGAAAGAATTAGTGAGCATGAAGACAGGCTATTTGAAAATACATAGTCAGAAGAGAAAAAAATAGAAAACAATGAAACATGTCTACAAGATATAGAAAACAGCCTCTGAAGAGCAAATCTAAGAGTTATTGGACTTAAAGAGGCAATAGAGAGAGAGACTGGAATAGAAGTTTATTCAAAGAAATAATAACAGAGAACTTTCCAAATGTAGAGAAAGATATTAATATTCAGTTACAAGAAGGTCATATAACACCAAGAAGATTTAAACCAGACTACCTCAAGGCATTTAATAATCAAGCTCCCACAGGTCAAAGAGAAAGAAAAGGTCCTAAGGAAAGCAAGAAAAAGGGGGAAAAAACTCACAACATATAAAGAAGCCCCAATATGTCTGACAGCAGACTTTTCAGTGGAAACCTTACAGGCCAGGAGAGAATGGTATGACATGTTCAAAGTGCTGAAGGAAAAAAACCCTTAATACTAGAATATTATATCCTGCAAAAATATTCTTTAAGCATGAAGGATAAATAAAGACTTTTGCTGAGGGATTTCATCAACACCAGACCTGTCCTATAAGAAATGCTCAAAAGAGTTCTTCAATCTGAAAGAAAAGGATGATAATGACAATAAGAAATCATCTGAAGGTATAAAACTCACTGGTAACAGTAAGCACACAAATATAGAATACTCTATTGTTGTAATTGCAGTGTATAAACCACTTATATCTTGAGTGGGAAACTAAAAGGCAACTCTATCAAAATAATAACTACAACTTTTTGAGAGATAGTATAAAAAGACATAAATGGAAACAACAAAAAGTCAAAAAGTGGGGGGAGGTGGAGTTAAAGTGTAGACTTTCTTTTAGATTTCTCTTTGTGTGTTTATTTGGTTTTTGTAGGCAAAATTAAGTTGTAATGTATTTAGAATAATTGATTATAAAATGTTTTTTTGCAAGCCATATGGTAACCTCAATCAAAAAACCTACAACAGATACACAAAAAATAAAAAGCTAGAAACTAAAACACATTACCAGAGAAAATCACTTTTGCACTACAGAAGACAGGAAGGAAGGAAAGAAGGAAGAGAAGATCCCCAAACAACCAGAAATCAAATAATATGATAGTAGTAATTTCTTACCTATCAATAATAACATTGAATGTAAATGGACTAAACTCTCCAATCCAAAGACACAGAGTGGTTTAGTGGATAATAAAAACAAAGACCCAACTATATGTTGTCTATAAGAAACCCACTTCACCTATAAAGACATACGTAGACTGAAAACAAAGGGATGGGAAAAGATAGTCCATGCAAATGGAAACCAAAAAAGAGCAGGAATAGCTTTACTTCTAGTAACTGAAATAGATTTCAAGACAAAAACTATAAAAAGAGAAGGTCATTATATAGTGATAAAGGGGTCAATTCAGCAAGAAGATATAAAAATTCTAAATATATATATGCACCCAACAGTGGGGTATCCACATATATAAAGCAAATATTATCAAAGCTTAAGAGAGAGGTAGACCCCAAAACAGTCATTGTTAGAGACATCAACACCCCACTTCTAGCATTGGACAGATCATCCAGACAGAAAATGAGCAAAGAAACATTGAACTTAATCTGCACTATTCACCAAATGGATCGAATAGATATTTACACAACGTTTCATCCAAAAGTTGCAGAATGCACATACTTCTCCTCAGCTCATGGATAA